AGGACTCTGGGCTAGATGGGTCTGATGCCGTCTGGCAATTCCCATGGTCCTGCAGTGGGACTCAGCCCTGCATTGTAGTATGTTAGTAGGTGACTCGGCCACACATGCTTTCCCAGGGGGCTGCTCTCAACTACACAGTGACAGCTCGCTCAGCCGCTGATGTCTGCCCTGACCGCAAAGTGGAGGGTCGAGCTGACGGACAGCAGCCTTCCAGCGTGGGCCTGATGTGTCTTTGTCCTTGACTGGATGGTACAGCTGCTGCCTATGAGCAAATGCCTTGGTACAGGTGTACCTTCCAAGAGGCAATTTATCAACCTCCTGTTCTGTCAGCAAGTGCCGGCCCCTGTCTGTGCTGCTGATCCCCGTAGAGTGTTGCAGAGTAGGTGTGAGGAAAGGGCTGACAAGGGTCAGGCCGACCATCCCAGGTCTGCCTCTCTTGCCGCTAAACTTTGAGCAGACACTCTGCCTGCCCCCGATGCTTGTTCCATGTAGCTCTTCAGAGCAGATTTTCCCAAGTGTGAGCCGGCTTCCCTGCCCACCATCCACAGACACTTGTTCCACAGAGCAGTCTCTCCTCCATGCCCCTTTAACACAGTTCCTTTTCCAGCAGGAAACACAAATTCCACCATTTGTAGAATTAATTAATTTGATGCAGGCTGAGCAGGTATGAAAAAGGTGATAGATATCTGTATTAACTTTACAAATGTTATGTGCCTCTGTCTACTTGATTACTACCATTCTGTCTGCTACATGTTTGCAGAGTTAATTCAGTCCCAGGTGGCTTTTGCACACTGTAGGAACCGAGATCAATGGCTGTAGATAGCCTAGTTGCTGGTGCTTAATGGACAAGACAGGTGTCAAGGTCTTTTGTTTTGTCTCCAAGTGGGAAAGGGACAGGGCCCTTCAAGCAGGAAACCTTAAATAAAGAACTTGGAAACTGTTAAGACAGCAACCCTGATGCACGGAGGCAAGGCCTGCAGTGATGCAGCTGGTAACCCGGTCCCCTGAAGAGCTAGGATATCAGAGCTAATTCGAGCCCACCTCAGCCTGTAGCCCTTTTGTTGTTTAAACCCTTTTCTCTCTGGTTGCTATATTCCTATGGATAAAATAAATAATGCTTTGTTGTGGGTGTCATTGCATTTACCTCCTGGACACAGCTCCCAAAGGGGAGTCTATAGAAGGGGCCAAACTCAGTTGGACCTGCCAAGGACACATGGTTGGTAAACAAGGGTGCTGTGCCCTGGAGACCCAGCCTAAAAGTGGGGTGAATCACTGAGAGAAATGCAGGCACTGGGCCTGTCACTGGAAAGGGTGCCTATGAAGAGACTGAAGGGTATGTCTACACTGCAGTCAGGAGATGTGATTGTAGCATGTATAGACATACCTGAGCTAGCTAGATCAAAGCTAGGTCAAGTACGTCTAAACATGCTGCAGTTGCACTTATAATTGCTGTGTAGACATACTCTGACTGAGGGATCAAAGGTACAGCTCACTCTGAACTGTGACAGCTGGTGAGTGAATACACCTGCTCAAACTACCTAAACAGTGAGCAGTGACTGCCTCTGTCCCTGTCTCTCGCTCTCCCCACACAGGCCCATCACTCAATGGAGAGGGGGCATTATGGAGTTTAGAGAGGAAAGTTGAGGTTTGGGTCCAAATTTGAAGACACCACATTTTTCTTCTCAAACTTTTGGCCTCTGATTCCAGCTGAGACCTAAGCTGCAGTGAAATGTTTGACTTGAAAAACTTCAGTTCCCTGCTAGTGACCAAATGCAGCAGGAACAACGCTTTTGTCTGCTAAGCAACATGCAAACATAATCCAACATTTAATTCCTTTATGCGTTTTCAACAAGTGCAGCAAAGCGTGAGGTTTATGTAGCTGCTTGATCCTGTCATGGGCATTTCACACAAACACACAACCTCATGCCAATTGTCAGTTCAATTAATTATTGTTATTTATTATTTGTATTGTTGTAGCACGGACCAGGACCCCGTTGTGCCTAGGTGCTGTACAAACATAGAACAACAAGACTGTTCCTGCCCCAAGGAACTTACAATATAAGATAAGAAACAATGGGTGAATATGGGCAGGGAGTACAAAGAAACAGTGAGACAATATTGGTCGGCATGAGGGGCAATGATCTCTGCACACCAGCTACCACCCGGCATCACAGTTATACTTCTTCAGTGAGACTTTTTGGCATGACTAGCTGCATGAGCATTGCCAAAGTGTGAGAAAAAGACCGACCTCTCAGATATCTGTCAAGGGTGGGCAGGACCCATCTAACACATCAGCCTTCTTTCTGGGAGTTTGATTGTAGTACAGCCTCAATGGCTAATGCACCTGTCCCCGTAGTTTGTCAGTGCCAGAAAATGTGGGGGACAGGATAGCTTAGAGGATTGGAAATGGGACATTGAGCCTTTGGCCTGTAGGTGACTAATCCAAATGTGGTCGCAGATCAGTAGTGGAAGAAAGCTATTATAATCTGAATGCTGGTTTGTGCCCTTGGACATGTGAAACAATTTGGTTGTTGAACAAGTGGCCACTACCACAGTTAGCATCACACTGCTTCCTCTTTGGCTGCCTCAGCAGAGAGCCCAAGGACTGTCTGGAGCATGGGGTCTAAACTCACTGGGTGCGTTCTTCCAAAGGAGGTGGGAAATGTTCGTGGTGGATGGGAAGCTCTCCCTGCAGTTGCCTGGGCTGTCCCCTCTGTGGACACACCCAGGGCTGTCAATCCAGCACCTTTGCTGGCGCTAAATTCACTTCAAGTAATGAACCTGGAAGCCCAATTAGTATCTGCAACATCCCCCCATGTGGCTTCCCAGGGCAGCTGCATTCAGACGCCATGCAACCCTGTTCCCACCGCAGCCGCCCTTCCCTCCTCTCAGAATACTGGCTGCAACGGAGATGTATTCTGTTCCTATGACAACCCAAACAATATTACCTTGACTTAAATGGATTCAGGCGATATTAAAACCGGCCTCTTTAGGAATTCCTAGTGTTGGAGGGGCTGAGAATTTTAATTTTGTGTAATGCGAGCTGACACCGTGTTTATGAGCTGCTTGCTGAATGTTTTCTTCAATTAGTACAAAGCAGAGCAGATTTGTTTTCAGGGCTTAGCTTGGGAGAGGGAGGGTGTGGGGCTCATAGTGCCTATGTGAGATTGAGTTATGTTACAGCAGCTGTGCATCCCTCAACTGATCACAGCTGGGAAGCCCATCCTATGAAATCCAGGTGAGATGGCCAGCACCTGAAGGGGTCTTTAGACAAGACTCGCTGACTGCCTCGTTCTAATAGGAGTAGGGTAAAGGAGCTAGTTAGCTTGCACCTATAGGGAATCTGGGGATGGGCAGGCCTCTTCTCCCAGCCCTGACATCTGTTTCCAGGTATCTTTGCTCCACCTAGTATCTCTCACAGCTTTCACATTTAAAACCAGTGCACGCACACAAACACGTGCATTTGCACACTCAGGACATTCACCTGACCTTGTGCTTATCTCTACCATACCCTGTCCCGTGCAGGATCAAGCCCAAAGCAAGTTTTATGTCGGGAAGTTTCTCTTTCCCTGGCCCTCCCAAGCAATACTCAACGATTAGCCTGCAGAACTCATTGCCACGGCATATCATTGAGGTCAAAGGCATGGACGGAATAAGGATTAAAAAATAGCTTAGATATTTCTCTGGATAATGGAAATTTCCATAGCTGTCATGGTAAGTATTTAAGGATTTGTACAAGAACTAAACCCTCTTTCAGGGCAGGATCCCCGCTTCGGACTAATGAGAGTCAGGAGGGAGCGCTATCCTGCAGAGTGGCTTGTATTCCTAATAATTCCTGAATTCCTAATATTTCAACTGTTATGCCTGTAGTCCTAGCCACATGCTGGACCCAGCCCTCACCTTCTAAAAGCCTGTTTGGATGCACAAGACTGGTGGGGTTGGGGGATGTTACAGGAGTGTGACTGGACCTGCTGCTCCTGGGAAGAACGAGCCGAGACTAAACATGATCCGTGGGACCAGTCTTGCTACAGACCCAAGAATCTTCATGTCATGGAGATTTGGTCTCAAGTGTGGCACATACAAAAATAAATCCCATGCCTAGGAGGGAAATTCTGCAAACCAAGGAGACAGTGGAGAGCCTTTGCATTTAATAGTTAGGGTAGTTTGCATTGAGATCTAATTCCAGACGAGAGGATGGGGACGTTCAGTGACGCATGCTCTGCCTTTTTACCGTCACCACAGCCAGTACTAGAGCACTCTTCAGCAAACAAAGGCATAACAAGATCCAGTGGCTGGGCTCTGCCACTAGACAAAAGCAAACTGGAAATAAGTAATTAGCTAGTAATTAGCCATTGGAACAGTGTCCAAAGGGATGTGGTGGATTCTCTATCACTTGGAGTCTATAAATGGAGACTGGGTGTCTTTCTAAGAGAGGTGCTCTAACCTAACCACAGACCATTGCAGGATGCCCTGGGTGAAATTGTCTGGCCCGTGCCTATGCAGGACGTCAGACTACATCAACAATAAGGTCCCTTCTGGGCTTAAATTCTAGGACCATAAATAACTTGCTACTCGGTAATAAGTCACATGCTTGTAACTGATCACAGATCACAGTTAACACGGAAGGGTTTACTTTGTCTTTTCACCTCCGCCTGCCACACGGGGTGCTGGTGTCAGAGAGGAACAGATCTGGATGCAGCCCACCTCTGGGACTGTGCATGGAGCACGCATCCCACCTGCTCCTTTGGGGCAGTGTGTGGGTGTGGGTTTGGTTTTTAAACACGTGACTCAGTGGCAGCTTTTTTCTTTATACTGAACTTCTATTTAGGATGACCAGATAGCAAGTGTGAAAAATCGGGACAGGGGGTGGGGGGTAATAGGAGCCCATATAAAAAAAAGGCCCAAATATTGGGACTGTCCCTATAAAATCGGGACATCTGGTCACCCTACTTCTATTTCAAACTCAGTTTTTTAAAGTAAAACATGAATCACAGAAAGACCGGGGGGCGGGGGGAGAATGCAGAGAGATGGAGAGGAACACAGACAGAGAAGGAGATAGAGCAAGAAATCCCACGTGGCTCCAGCTGGAATGTCCCAGCCACTTCATGCGAAGGCCATCGCGCAGCACAGCTCCATGGTGGTATTTGGAAGGGATGAGCTCTCCCCTGTAATCCTCTCCATCCCGCTCCGCAGAGTTTGCCAGGAGGATTAACCCAGTCTTGTTCTCAATCCCAGTTTATGAGTTCCCTGCTGGTGGGGAAGATCCTGTGTGTTTAAACAACAGCCTAATTAATCCCCATTTTATTACTTTCTCTTGTCAAGTGGCTAAATAGAAGCTGTCAGCCGGCAGCCACCGTGCTCACATTTGTTTAGATCCCAAATTACTTCATCAGAACCATCTGCTCTGAACGCCGGGCACTCAGCGATTGTTTATTTCTCTCTCAGGATGCCGCAAGGGGCACAAACAGCCTCCTCCGGGGCTCCCAGTGCCGGATCCGTACAGTCCCCGGGGACTAAGTTATTAAAATGAGTTTAGGGGTCTCGAAGGAAGCCCTACCTGCTGAGACCACACTAACAGACTGAGCCGGGCAGCATGGTCCCTGGGGGCTTCTCAGGCTGCATTCACTGACTCCACTGGCCTGAATAGAGTGAGATGTATCGGCCCTGAATGAGCCTCCAGCAAAGTTCATTCAAGAGCAGAAGAGGCACTCGGGACAGCCACACGCAGGAGGGCAGCGTGGGCGCTGACTCCACGGGGGTTGAAAGGCTGGGCAGGCTGTGTTCCTTGCAGAGCTGGCTGGGGAAGTCAGGGGCAGCATGGGCCAGGAGCAGTGGACCTAGCCCAGAGAAACCACTACCCATCTAGGGGTTATTTATGATACCTGTAGGGCCGAACCCTTAGCAAAGGTCAGTGGGCACAGCTCCTTTGACTCCACCAACGGCCTTTTATACACGCTGATGACCTGGCCCCTGGTTTCCATATTCCACTTTGTGGTGCTGCCCTGGGCCCTTTCCCACGCCCCGACCTCTCCCCCTCCCCAGGTCACTGAGCTGGTAACCCAAACTCACTTGCTCTCTGTCATCCTGTTCAGAACAGCCGGACTCGCTTGGGAGCACCTGGCAGGCCAAGCCCGACCCTGCCTCAGTGGCCTTGGGCCTGTGTCAGCCCCCAGAGCACCCGGTGCTGCTGTTTTTCTGTCCTCCCCGCCGCATGGGAGAACTGGAGCCTTTCCCAGCTGCTGTGGAGCCCCCGGACTGGTGGGACTCCTGACGCCTCGTACATCTGCTGTACCCGCTCCAGTTATCAATGCAGGCATGTGCACCATGGCATCACAGCGCCTGTCCATATCTAGAGGAGAACAACCTTCACCCTGAGCCTCTGCTCCGACTAGTGAAGCCCCAGTCATAACCGGGACCCCCTTAAACCACTCCCGTATCTAGGTGTTAACACTATCAACCCAATACTTCCCATAGCTCCGATACCCCTTTGATTCCCTCCTAGCCCCACTGCCCCCTTAGCCCTAACCCCTAGGCCCTGTCTGACTGCTTTGTTCCCTCTCTGGCCACACAGGCTCTTCCAGACCAAGTGCAGCAGCTGCCTGAAGGCGATTGCTCCGTCTGAATTCATCATGCGGGTGCTGGAGAACGTCTACCACGTCCACTGCTTCTTCTGTTGCGAGTGCGAGCGGCGTCTGCAGCGTGGGGACGAGTTTGTGCTCAAGGAGGGGCAGCTGCTGTGCCGCAGCGACTATGAGAAGGAGAAGGAGATGCTGAGCGCCATCAGCCCTGCGCCCACTGAGTCTGGTGAGGGGCCACAGGAGGCCTACATCCTTGGGGCCAATGGGGAAGGAGGGGATGGGGCGAGTGGACCCCCCTCATAGGGCTGGGAATGAGGAGGTCAGGGGGCCAGCCCCCTCAGCCCTGGGGTTCACGGCACGGCTAATGTAGGGTGTTGCAGGGATACTGCCTGGTCCCCAGGGGACAGGGCTGTAAGATTGGGAGATGTGGGATGCCCATGAAGGGGTCCAGTCTGTGTCCTCTGAAGCACCTGTCCCCTGACCACTGTCTGAGCCAGGTCCTTGGACTAGACCGATGGTCCCTTGGTCTGATCCAGAGCGGCAGGGAGGGAGTGAATGGCGGGACACTGGTGGTCTGATCTGAAGGGTCGGGGTGGATGGATACTGGGCTAGAAAGGCCCATTGGTTTGATCTGGGGTGGCCAGTGGGGAATAATACTGGGCTAGATGGGCCTCTCTGGTCCTATGCACCGTGTCTCAGGACAGGAGCCCTGTGGGCCTGGCCCTTGCTGAGGACGTAAGGGACCAAAGCCCTGAAAGGGGAGGAAATTTCCTGGCTTCGCTGCTACAGCAGCTGAGCCAGAGAGGCCCCGGCCTGCCAGTGGCAGTAACAGCGAACGGTTCCCCTTCCAGTGAAAAGCGAGGATGAGGATGGCAGCCACTCCCACAGCAGAGGCAGCGAGGAAGGCAAGGACCACAAGCGCTCCAAGCGCCCACGCACCATCCTCACCACTCAGCAGCGACGGGCTTTCAAGGCCTCCTTTGAGGTTTCCTCCAAACCCTGCAGAAAGGTAGAGTGCAGGAGGGAGCTTCCTCACTGCCTGGGCCAGAGTCCCCGCCCGGCTCTGATGGCCATAAACCCCCCTGTAGTCCTATGGCCTCAGAGCCCAGAGTCCTGCCTCCACGCTCCCAGCTGGGGTGCAAAGCAAGCGCTTCCAGAACACACCCCAGGGGAGCAGGGAGAGACCAGGTTCCCTTCTGACCGTGCGTCCGGCCCAGCGGCAGCGTGGCGCATATACGGGGCTACATGCCAGCTGTCTCTCTGCACTGCAGCCTTCAGCCTCAGCACAGCTTGGCAGCCAGCTTGTTTTCATTTCAGTGCAGATGGTTAGAGAGGAGATGCACACGCTGGGCCAGATGTTCACTGCCTTGCATCTTGTGCTGTCATTTACGCCAGGGCAAAGTGGGTGTCTTCTGATCTGGGAGCGTTTCACACCCACTTTCCACTGGGGTGAATGATGGCACGAGGTGAATTAGGCCCACTCTGAGCCATTTCATAGACAGCAGCTTCCGTTGTTCTCTTTCTCCTCTAGATAGTGTCAGGTGTTTATAGTACTGTGCAGATGAATAGAAAGACAAGTTGCCTACCTTGGGGGGTTCACAATGTAAATTCAGAGTAATGACAGAAGTGATGTGGTAAACAGGAGCTAGGGAGTGAGAGATTCCTCCTTTTAGATACTTTTCTGTGCCAGTCATTTTCTAAACTCTTCAGAAGGGACAGCTTCTCGGAGGAACTTACAATCCTAGGACAGACAAAAACACAGAAGTTAGGAGTACAAGTCAGCATGACTCATTGTAGGCAGCAGGGTAGATTTGCAGCCGGTGTGAGTTTCTAGGAAGGATCTGGAAAGGGCAGGGGGCTGTCAGGTGCACTGCACAAGGTTAGGTAGGGACACTGTTCTAACCATCAGCTGGGTTGATCATTTTCCAATATAACAAAGCTCTAACTCACCTTTTCCGACTCCTCTCCCCTCTGCGGGTAGGTGAGAGAGACCCTCGCAGCTGAGACAGGCCTGACGGTCCGGGTGGTGCAGGTCTGGTTCCAGAATCAAAGAGCCAAGGTGAGTGACTGCTTCTCTCATCGGAACCAAGCTTGGTGGCCTGGATTCTCAATTGCACTGAGGCCCTTTGCACCGTTCTGGCAGTCTAACAGGGCAGAAACTGCTCTCTGAGAATCCCCCCTACACAGGGGGCTTCCCCAACTGGTGTGGAGCTGGTGATAAGACCCTGCTCCCAGACTGCGGCACATAGGGGTGGATTGAGGCCATGGCTGGTGTGCACTTTGCTCTGATATTCTGTGCTTCCCAGGGCCTATGAGGGCAACATGAAACCCTAGTGAGGCTCTCTGCGCTTCAGGACCAGCGTCTGTGTGATATCTGCACTGCTCCTTCACTAGGGAGGGGAAAGGCAGCTGCCCAGCAGGGAGTTAACTGCAGCACATTACCCCAGCCAGACCCTTCATGCAAACTTAGGGCCTTGCTTGCTTCTCCTGGCAGATGAAGAAGATCGCTCGCAGGCAGCAGCAGCAGCAGCAACAGCAGGAGCAGGAGCAGCTGGGCAACCCGCGTTTGGGGACCGGCCGTGGAACTGGCCGCAGCAGCAGACAGAGCAATGATGACAGTGAAGGTGAGGCGTGGCAGAGCCTTGGGATCAGCTCCCTGCAACAGCACAGGGGGAGGCAATCTGGGACTGAGGGGGCTCGGCTGAGCTGTGCTGAAAGAGCAGGGGCGCTGCAAGGCAGGACTGAGATACGCTGGCACAGCTGAGGGGAGACGAAGTAAAGGGAAAAGTCTAGATTAGCTCCTGGCAGACGGTCGGGGGGAAAACTGGTGTAATGCATAAAGCACAGGACTGGGACTTGGAATTCCAAAGTTTCAGTCCCTGCTCTACTAGCGTCCCTTGGAGACCTGGGGCAAGGCACTTCCCCGCTCTCTGCCTCATAATCTGTACAATGAGGATAAACCTAGTTCATAGGGTGTCACGAGGATTTATAAATCTCTTTTAGTCCTCGGATGTAAGGAAGGAGCTGGAGGAGAGTGAAAATTATCATTATTAAGTGTGACTTTTGAATGCTTCAGTACCTCTGATGTCAGTTGTTTCTAACTATGCAACAGGAGCTCAGTTCTTTTACCAACTGGTGAATTCGGATTCTCTTCCGTTTAGCTTTTAAATAACAAAACCAATTTTTAATTTATGGACATTTGATCTTTTACTCCAGGATGAAGGGTCCCATGTTCCCATCCTAACAGCCCCTTCTCTTCTCAGCACCTTAATGATAGTGAAAAGAATCCAACAGAGGTAGACGCAATCACTTGACAATATGGACCCGTCGTAAAAATCTTGTCACAAGCAGTTTAGCCACACTCTGATGGCAGGACAAGATTTCCAGAAGTGACCTGTGATTTTGGATGTTCATCTTGAGATACCTAAAAAGGGCCCAATTTCCGGAGGGCAGGAACTCAGCCCTTTCCGGGTTTCTTTCACGTGTCTCAAGTTGGGCACCCAGAACTCACTAGTCACTTCTGAAAATCTTTGGCTTTGGTTCCACAGGTGTAAATCCAGAATAAATCCATGGATTGCAGTGGAGTCACTTTCAATTTACGCCAAAGTAACCGAACACAGAATCTGGCCCAAAGTAACAGTCTTTTATTGCGTGTTTGTGCAGAGCCCCATGTAATCTGCAGGGCCCGTTACAATGGAGCCTGATCCTGACAGAGGCCTGTGGGCGTTACTGCAGTATAACACATCATAACATATCACCAGGAGGGATTTTACTCTGTACCCACTGCTTCCATCTGTTCCATTGATTCCACATTAGATGGAGCAAGTGTTCACGGACTAGATGGGCTCATGGTCCCCTATCCCAGGATTCCCCAGCAGCAGCTGCTGCCGCTGGATCAGAACAGCTACAGCACAGACTTGTACCGACAAGGGCTCACGCCGCCCCAGCTGCCGGGAGACCACCTGCATCCCTACGGTAAGCAAGCGACGGGGCGGGGGATGGAGTGAGCAGGGGGTGAGGCCTCAGAGAAGGGACAGGTCAGGTTGGGGGTGGGGCCTTGGAGAAGGGGCGGTCAGGGGCGGGGCCTTGGAGAAGGGGCGGGACAGGAGTGGGGCCTCGGAGAAGGGGCAGTCAGGGGCGGGGCCTTGGAGAAGGGGCGGGGCAGGAGTGGGGCCTCGGAGAAGGGGCGGTCAGGGGCGGGGCCTTGGAGAAGGGGCGGGGCAGGAGTGGGGCACAGGTGTTCGGTTTTGTGCGGTTAGAAAGTTGGCCACCCTAGTGCCCCGGCCCTTGAACTTCTGAAAACTGTCATATGTGGCTTGGAGGGTCAGTAATTTTGGCCACCCCGGGACATAGGGTGACATTCATGGCCAGCACAAGTCCTAGCTCACTGCCCGCCAACCCCTCCCCCTTGGGCAGTGCACATCACAAGACTTAGACACCATTCAAGTGCAACTTACATCCTAATTTGAAGATTTAAGCAGGACTTAAAGAGTGCGTAGGTATGGGGCCCTGCCCATGGGTGAGGGGCTGGGGTAGTGGGGGAACAAGCGAGGCCTTGCCCAGAGGTGAGGAGTCACACGGGGGCTAGACTTCATGTTGGACTCTGCCCAGGGGTAAATTTCACCCAATGTAAAGAATTGCCCTGTTTTTATCGTCCCCTTTTTTCTGTGCTGAGTCAGGCAGAGGTGATACAGGAGCCCCTGGTGGGATGTGCTCATGTCTTTCTCCAGTGGTGCAAATAGATTTTAACTTTTACCGGTACGGTACCGACCCCCCGACCCTGGCCCCCCTCACAAAAAATGTTCCATGACTAGAGTCCTGCATGGATACAAATTTATACCTGCGGATGTGGCTATCTGTGGATAGAAATCAGTATCCGCTGAACCACAGGACTCTCCTGGGAACTGCAGAGGCGAAAGGAACAGAATGTGGGGCTGCCGCTCCCAGGAGCCAGCACCCCATGCCGGCAGCTCCTCCAGCCCAGCTGTACCACCCCCAGCCCACCCTCAGCCCTTCCACGCAACCGCGTCTCCTGTCTGGGGTCTGTACAGCCCCTCTGGAGGACAGGGCTGGGGGTGGTACAGCCACACCGGAGGAGCTGCCGGCGCGGGCCACTGGCTCCTGGGAGCGGTGGCCCCACGTTCTGCTCCTTTCGCCACTGAGGTTCCCAGGAGAGCCCTGCGGTTCAGCGAATACCGATTTCTATCCACAGATATCCACATCCGAGGAGAAATATTTGTATCCACGCAGGCTCTACAATTCATTCTTGACAATGTGTCTTTCCCGTACGGTGTACTGGCAATAAATGTCTTAAGGGTACAGCGTACCTGTCCGTACCGGCTTACTTGTACCATTGTCTTTCTCTCACTTTCCTTTTCTTCCTCCCCTAGACTCGGAAGGCGTTTTCCATGACATGGACAGCGACAGCATCAGCCACTTGGGAGACTGCCTGCTGTCAACAGCCGAAGCCAACCTCCTCCAAGCCCGAGTGGGTAACCCCATTGACCGACTCTACTCAATGCAGAGCTCCTACTTCACCTCCTGACCGTGGAAAAGGTCCTGGTCCTTTTGTGAGTGTCTTGGACAGACGTTGTTCTGAATTCAGAATGAGGAGTGGGAAGGAGAAACAGCCCTTCAGAGAAACTCTTTGAACCCTGCACAATGGAAGAGGCAGCTAGGTTTGCCAAGCACATAAGCACTAATTCATGAGGACCTTCCACAGCCCAGAGGACTCAACTGCGTTGCCTCTCCCCTCCTTTTCTCTAGCCACAAGTAGATGGGTGACATGATGTTGTTTAGCTGTAACTGTAGCGGGTTGTCCAGTGTTTATGCTTTAGAGCATTACATTCTTCAAACGAGACTGGCCAAGTTGCCCAGAGTCAGGCTTGGAAGCAGCATCTCCTCTGTCGGCTGCATTTATTTAAACCTTGGTGCAGCTGATCCATTTGTGGTGCCATTGTGCCCCGCTGCGAGGGATTTCACCAGCCTGCCCCCTCCTGGGCCTGCCTCATGGGACAACATTAATTTTCCTTGGGGAAGGCCAGTGACTGAGGATGCCTCTATTTGATACTACTGCCATTTTGGAGTCTGCCTTCAAGGGGGGTGATTTAGACTTTTTAATGGCTGACACCATGGAGAAATGCAAGACAGGTTGGTCCCTGAGGGAAACAGCTTTGCTTGGGGACAGTATTCACCTTCAGGAACAAAAGATTATTTGGTCTCTATTATGATGCGAGGAAGCCAAGGGACATGTCCCTGAAGAGCGTAACACATCTAGAGAGGCGTATCTGCCTCTCCCGACAGCCTCTGTGCCCCTCCCTTTAAAAGGAGGCTCACTCCATCCATTCAAAGTAGAATGAAGACTCATTCTCACAGCTGTAACACTGCAGATGCTGTCTGCACTGGCTGCTGTTTGTTTCTTTTAAAACTAGTGGTGTGAACAGATCTTATTTAAAAATGTTCTTACCAGAAACCCCTCCCTACATGTTTCCATCTCGAGTGGGATTTCTCCCCCTAACCATTTACCCAGTTCACTGGGCCCGTCCACCGTTTTGCTTCCCTCAAATACACGAGAAGAGGAAAGGGTTGAATTGTGTTATCTTGGAATGTGCCCTGTGCCAAGTCACTTCCACTCCAACAGCCTGAGTTTGTTCTTGACTTTGAAGGCAACAGGTAGGATGCCCAGAGTCTGCTGAGAGACCGCACTCTTTCTTTGGATGGGGAGGAGCAACACTTCTTCTC